TTTTTTTTTTAGGAAATAAAGCCCATGGGCGTTATTGCACTCCGCCGGATTTTAGATATGTAAAAAAGTTTTTATAGTATATGGAGCCAAAATCGTCATTTGATGTCCGAAATCGTCAAATAGTCATTAGTCCCAAAATTCGTCAAATTGGCGACAAGATCCTCAACAGGACTTTTGAAGTGAAAATCTCATTATAAAAAAGGAATGCGAGAAAGTTTCTAAAATTTAAAAATCCCGCAAGGATGAAGATCTAGAAAAATATGAAGCGATAGGTGTAAAGTTGTGGGCAAAACACAAATGGAGAGGCATATAGTTTTCGTTTTTAACCGACTTCACAAAAAGGAGGAGGTTGTCAATTCGTCGAAATATATTTTTTCTTATGTATGTTACCGCATAATTTTGGACCACGTCAATCGATTCGATCAATAGGTCATGAAGAAGTTAACGGTATTCCGAAATTATTTTTCAAGAATTGAAGTCGGTTGTGTTTTTTTTTTTTCTTAAAAATTACTCGTTTTCATCTTGTAAGCCTCTTTGTCGAGACGATCGTTTCGATTTTAAGAGCCATATTTTGTCTTCATTGTATTCCAATTTTTAATAGAAGATGTGTTTACGTGATATCCTCTTTCATACAATTGTGGAAGGAGGAAGTCCTTCAGCATGGTTTTGTAAACGCAGTAGATGAACGGCTCTAATGGCTCTTTTTGGGTTTTACACGGAATTTAGGTGTCGCAGAAGCAATCATCCCGCTAACTCACATATCCACAGAGATGGAAATGGGTAGCGTTGATGCTGATGAGCGGATGATTTTTTATTAAACGTTGTTTTCGTTCGTAGTCGAGATTCAGCATGACTGCACTTGGTAAGGGAACATCTTCAAGATTTAAAAAAAAAAATATCTTTATGCCCAATTGCCTGCCACGTGGTCGGTCGATGCTCGGAGGTCCTCTCCGACAGCTTGGGTTGCAGCCTGGCAGGATCTCGTGACATTATTTTAGAAGATCGTTAAACTTCGCTGCGTTTGGCCAGTTGGTGTCGGACGACCGGGATATCTGCGACAATGTTCACGCTGCGTTAAAACGAGCACGTATCAGTTTACTTCTCAAATCGATTACCCCGAGCTGCTTTACCTCATCTAGTCGATAGCCGTCAATCTATCCTATCTTGAACGCCATGCGGAAGAATCTTGAGTTGATGAACTATGATTATGATGAAGAACTGAAGTATTGCTGTCTGGCTAATGCTGGACCACTCGCATAATGTGCTCCGACGTCTCCTCGTCTTCAAGGCATGTGACAGCGTAGGTGACTATGGCCGGTTATGTAGCCAATTAACATCTTTATGTTGGCTCTGCTCAAGAGATTTAGTTATATATTTCCTTGCAAAAGGATAGTCAAAAAGCACTCTCCAGTACCTACTACGTTCTGAGTTCACCCACGTTTCTATTAGGTGTCTCGAAGAGGGCCAACTGAATCCACAAAACGGTTCCGGCCCCACAAGTAAGACTATGAGCCTTCCCTTGCCAATGCGATCCCGCAGTGTCCTGTTACCCAGCATAGTAATACCATGTTTTGCGCCAACTTTTTCTCATGCGTTTTAGAATAACGCTAACTCTAAGCCGCTTGAAGCTTGCACTTTTGTATACTAAAATTTCATGGTCTATAAAGCTGCATACCTAAAAATTTCTAAAAACAAAAAAATTACGATTTCTTTACAATTCTTTTTTTTCGTTTTGGGGGAACCCTACAATTGTTTTCAACTAGTTTATATTACGAGACATTTATTTCGATTTTCTCAACATTGCTAATTTTTCTGCACTTTGCACTTGAAAAAATTTAATATAAGTAAACAAAAATTCCAAAACGGACTCAACTGGTATCTTGCGAATCTTACAAGCTTTTATTAAAAAAAAATAAATAATAATGATTAATAAATTATAATTAATAAATTATAAAAAATAATTAATAAAATTGGGTGTGAAAAATGACGGCTCCAGTGAATTATGAACAACAAATGCCAGTTTTGGCCACTGCGCAGCGATGTGGCTGTGTTAAAATACGTTCACACTTCTGCTTAGTGCTTGGTTATAACCAGGGCCGAAAAGTTTCAGCTTTTGCTTGGAATTACTTATTTTGCATATTCAGGGTTTCCAAGCTAAATTTCAACGATCATGCTTATTTTGCTTATTTCAATGTATAAAGCACGTTCCTTGTAAGTAAACGGTCAAGAAATTAATTGCTATTATTTTGTGTGTTTTGACATATGATATTTTAGAGCCTGCTGTCTCACTTTTTCCTTACGAAATAAGGGAACAGGCGTATATTTCTGTTGGGAACAAGGGTGCCTTGTACTTAAAAAAAAAAAAACTTTAGCAAACCATAGTAGAAAGCGTAGCAATTTTCTTAAGAACTTCGTACTGCTTAAGAAAATTTGACTCAATAAAATTTTCTTGATCATTTCTTGGGCTTTTTTTTTATTCGTCGAACTAAGAAGATGTTAACAAATAATAACATAAAAACAGATTTGGTTTTTATTAACCCGTAACTTCAAATGCATTTCTGCGTGGATGCAAAAGTTTAAAACAATGGTTCGTCTCAACGGAATGCCATTGGTGTTATTGAAGAGATTAAAAATAACGACCAGCGCACATCTCTAATATTAGAGAATATCAAGCAACACTTAAATTCCCATTGTAATTTTTCAATTCTTGAAATAAACTGAATAAAAAACAAAACATTTAACTGTATTTAAATTTATTGTTTTTGTGAGCATATTTACAAATATTTTAGTGCTCAGATGAGCGCTTAAAATTGATTTGTTCTTGCTTATTTTCCGCGGCCCTGGTTATAACACAAATACAACTGCTTTAATGAGAAGCTTCTCCAAGGCATAAATACACTCGTCACGGCCTGCCGCTATTAGACAAACCTTTTTCTAATTTTAGATGTTTCTTGGACAAGGGATCAAGCCCCAGTTGCCAGTTCTAACCACTCGGCTATAGCGGTCGTTCCACTTGGCTACAGCCAATTGTTATTTTCCTCAATCATTTGCTTTCTGTGCTTTCTTAAAGAAACTACCGTTATACATAAATTTAATTGCTTGATTTTAAAATCTGTACATATGTACTCTTTTCTCTTCAATAAAATGCTATAAATATTTAACTTCGCGACATTAATTGCCAAATTTCGTTAGGGTGCTATTTCGTAATTTTCTTTAAATTTTTGCCGTTCGGCAAGAAATGCCAGCACCTGAAGTGAATATCAATTGCAAACAAGTAAAATATCTGGAATAACAGGTGGCCGTTTATTTTTATTGCGGGTACATGCTTACATATGTATTTATGTATATTCGTATATGCAAAAATAGCCAATCCAAGTATATTAGTACTTGAATAACGAAACGAAAAATAGCAATTAGAATATTTAAAAATTCCTTTGTAGTGACAGCTTCCTGAGACTTTTTGTCCAATATGTTAGCAATTGGGAGAATCTTTATCTAAGTTATTGTTGCTTTAAACTTATTTATGCTTATTGCTCTGATGGCATTTCAAGTACGCGTAAACAAAACGAATAGCGCTGTTAATTTGTTTTTTTTTTTTCCTCCGGCTTGCTGTAATTTATTTCCATTTTCAATCTGATCGCGCACAAAAAAATAGCTGCGACAGCAGTTATCATCTTGTGAAATGTTCTATTAATATTTGTAATACAATATGCACCCACAAGTGTAAGTAAATACGCATGTATGGATGTATGTTTAGTATTATAGTAAAATGCGCTAACCTCAAACTTAACATAACACTTGAAAACTGTATTTACATTTGGCGCATTAGCTAAAAAAGTTGGCATTAAAACCAAAGTACAAAGAAAGAAAAAGTATCGCACTTTATAGAAAAGAGTAAAAAAAAAAAAATTGTGTTTATAAGTAAAACTACCATTTTGGTTTTTAATCTTTTCAGTTATCAAGTTGTTCCATTTTTGCAGTTTAGGTGCTATTCAAATATACTAAGTATGCGATCGATTCAGCAAACATTACACCACCCAAGTGTTCCTAAACACTTAGGCGTTTCGCAACCGGCTACTTGTGCGCGAGATACATACTTATGTACGTATGAAGCAGTTCAACAACACTTTTATTTTCTAACAATTATACCTTCACTGGCGCATCTCTGAGTCGATTTACTAAATAACCAATTTCCGAGTTGTTAATTACATTGGAAATTGCAATTTCTATTACTAATAGATGGGAAGATATATGTACATATAAACGGTGTTTGCCATGAGCATTCAAATTTGTTTTTTACAAACAAGTTCGTTACTTAAGTCTTTTGTTTGCATTGATTTGACCTCCACAGTAGATATTGATTCTCATATTGATACTAACTACATACATATGTGCACGTAAATATGTTTGCATCGTATATCGAGCCCATTACAACAAAAATATTTTGGCATTAAATTTTTAGTAGCACAACGCTACCCTTGATTTTAATCGTGGATTAAGATGACAAAAATGCCAGTAGCTGTTTTTTTTTTCTTTAAATTGCCGCGTGCGACCGCGTCTGCATATTTGTGGTTATCTGTTGTCTCTTGTACGAGGTCAACGTGTGCAGTGGCTGTGTGTTATGAGATGTTGCATCGCACTCTGGTCGCTTGATATAAAAATATAGAGTCAAAATTAAATTTCAAAATTGATTAAGTTTAATTTGGGATATAAAATATATTTGGTTATTAACATTGCAATGCACTTAGGGCCGTTTTCTCAAGTAGGTTTTAAAATTTGTATGCCCTTTAAATACAAATTTTGCTCTGAAAAAATTGGTTCGAAGGGCAGATGAATTTTAAAACGTAATTGAGAAAACTACACTTAAAGTCTTATAGAAAATACAACAAAAAATTATCCATAATTTTTTCTATTAGTTCTAAGTTATCCCGATAACTTACGAAACTTCCTCAGAAAACTCTGATCAGGAGTAATTTTGTATTGTTTTATCGTGTCTATAAAATAAAAAGTGAAAATTACTGACTATTCTCTCGTTTGTCATGACGATATCTAGAATCAGTATGGTTACGCTATTTAGGGTGACAGCCCCGCGAGTGACTCGATTAAACACTTATCAAGTTGTCCATTGTGTTAGCACATTGCAGTTTCTAAGAGCGGCAACTGATTACCTAAATCTGTGAGAAGTAAGCGTTGTGTGCTCAAAATAGAGTTCCACAGACAGCTGATGTCCACTTAGACAGTTACGAGCCGACATATTTAAACCATTGTGCTGAGATTCCAACTCTTCCTCCAAACAACCACCGCACCACATGGCTTCCTACACGACAGTTTCCGGTCAGAAGGGTTGTAGGAATCTCCTTTGTTCGCCTGCAACCACCGATCAATAAGACTTTTATATGTGGAGTTTTTCCCAGCGCTGGTTGAGGCGACTTTAAGACGAATATCTGCCCAGCAGAAGTCCCAAAGTGGTCACAGCAACTCATATGCCTTCCCTGTACATGTAGATGGCCAAAAGAGTACACTGCCAAGGCAATTTGTCAGCCCTGCGATGCTGGGTGCTGTAACCAAAATCAACTGGATTTTAACGTGTTCCGAGGCGATTAAGTGCAAGGTCGGGCATGCATGGGAAAACCCCCCTGGGCATCGCAATGGGCCTTTGTGGCCTCCGAGTGAACTCTTTTCAGAACCGCCCGCATAACCTAACCTAACCTATCGGAGTAGACACTTACTCTTCTAATTGGTAATATACTGGTACGAAACCAGTCCTCTCTGCCTTTTTAACAGCAGTCACCTCTGACTGAAAGACGCTGCAAAAATCCGGCATCATGAAGTTGAGATTTACTTAGAGTTCCTGATAGAAAACACCTCCTGCAACTCTGCCGTCCAGCTTTGATCCATCCGCGAAGATGTTTATTGAACCTATTTTCCAAAGGCTGCCATTCTCCCATTCACCCCTTGAAGGGATGTATAGATAAGGATTCATTTCGGCCGAGCTTCGAAACGGTCAGGGCTTTTGCTATCGCCCCGGGTAACATTTTATTTAAAGCCTCTTCAACATCAAGGAGGGCACCAATTGCAAAGTCGTGCCATGTGGTTATAGGTGCGCACTACCACTCGGTAGATCCAGTGTTCTGTGTTCTGCAGTGAAAACCGTTACGCCAAAATTCTCTAAACAAAAAGCAGTGGGTTCTAAAGCTATACCAAATGAAAAAGTAACAGATGCAATATGTAATCAGCCAAATCAGTATGAGGATCATTTAACTAGCATTTCTTTTTCACCTATCTGAAAACAATTATAGGCTTGCCAAAAAAATACACCTAAAATTCTTATAGAAATTAAGAAATACTAAATTTTGGTGATTTATTTTTATAACATTTAATTTTTTTTTGTACCGCAACCTGAGGAGAAGCTCGGCCAAATACGTAGAAAAATATGTATTTTGAACATAATTTTTCTGTGTACCACAGTGCGCCACCTTTAACAATTTTAATGCAGCTTACATAATCCAGCCACGCTTAAGCATCAACGCTCTGAGCATCTCTTCTGCATTGGCTTGTTCACCTTTATTCGCTGCACATCCGCAGCTTATTTACCTTTTCAGATCAATTGTATTGCTTAGCAGCGGTTTGCGATTTATTTCACATTGCACAAATATACAATAGCCTTACATACATATATATGTACATAAGTAGTATATACATACACACAGTTATCTGTGATGACAATGATGACCAAACTTGTTTGGTCTTAAATACTTTTGCTTTCAATTTTTCAAAGTATGATGATGCAGATCTTTTGATTGGTATATATGTGCTTACATACTTATATAAGCTTTTTGTTTATTTTTTTTCTTTCTATGCTAATGTTTCTTCAAGGAATGCAGCTTTTTTTTACTGGAAGTCTGTATTATAACAAAATACCAGTTTTTTATTTAAACAATTTTTATAATCGTTCTACTAAGAAAATGTTTTTTTTTTTCGATTTTATTCACATAATTTAAATGAAAAATTTTCACTTGCTTCTGTTGCCATGCAAAGATTAGATGCTTCGATTTGACTACGAGTTTCTTAGGTTATACAGTTATTAATAAGTGCAATTATTTCAAGTGCTAATAAAATGAAGTCTTCTCTGAAGCTAAAACATACTACAAAGTATTCAAATTAAAATTATAATACAGTTGACACTTTCTGCACTCCAAAATGCAATTAAATCATCATCAAAAATAACGACACGTTTTCATTGCTATTAAAGTGGATCCAACGCATTTAGCAGCGCTGTTAATTATTATTATTTTTTTTTTCAATGCAGTGATGATACTGATGGTGACAGTGGCATCTAACACAACTATTGTGTAACACCAGCATTTGTGTGTTTATATGTATTTGTTCATGAACCTAGTGGCAAAGTGCATTATGTATGTTAAATGTGCCGCATCATTAAAATAAGTATGAAAGTAAGCACAATGATATGTATGTATGTATTTCTAATGCATATACGCATTTTAAGCAAACAAAGTAGTAACGACAATTAGGCTAACGTGTATTCCGGCTTTTTGAGCCCATAGTTTGATATTTCATAAGTAACGTATTATAAAAATGTGGGTCAAATATGCATTATGATATGCAAAAAAAAAAATAACAATTTTCGTTCGCTTTCTGCATTTTAATATTTTGGGAGTTCACAAGACGCCTTATAGCATTGGCAGATGGCAACGTTGATTCAGATTAACTCAGCTGTTGATTTGATCAGAATTGTACCCTGATAGACAATTGCTGATCAAGAGAGCCGCGAGAACGTGGGTGGGTACAAATCTAACGGCAAAAAAGTTGTGTTTTTAGTCGTATTTTTTAGGTCCTTTAATCATTTCCTTAGGCGTTAAAATTACACAAAATGTAGGCCATTTAAAAAAGGCCGTGTGGAAACAGACATGATGGCTATTTTTACAATTGTAATGGCACGAGTTTTGTTTAATGCCCGACATTGTCATTAAAAAGTCTATCATTGAATCACTAGTGGAAATTCAGCGTTATTTTTTTTTTATGTAATTATTAGGGGTTTCGATTATTTGCCTTTTACCCAAACCCGGTTTTCGAGTTATTCGAAAAATTACAATTTAAGAAACCGGTTTCCAATTTTCCAATTAAGAAACCCGGTTTTATTTTACTTAATTCTCTTACAAAGAATGATATAATACAAGATTGCGCATTCCTGCGAGTAATGACGTCATGATCGCAACGAATAGGGGAGATGAAGGAGAGAAAAAATAGCGGCGGCCCCATTTGTAGGCAAATCGTAGTTGTGTTCGTCTACTTTTTGAACAGAAAATTGAAGATTGAAGAAAACTTAAAATATTACGCCCAGAAAGAGCGAAATAAAGAGGAACAAAAAACACTAAGCTAGTTGAAATTAGTGACGTGAACTCTTATAAGATTGTTTCTGCAAAAGGTTTATTAGCAAAAACTAGTGATAACTAGTGATAAAACTTAGCGCGGATATTTCTGTGATGACATCACACGAGCAGCTGATTCTGTCAAATTCGCTAAGAACAAAGTAGCGGTATTGCTGAATGCACCGCCGCTGCCCTTCTACATCATATTTTCTTACAGTCAAATGCTTATTTATGAATGAAACCATGACCAAAAATTACAGTAAAGCTTTTAGCAATAAAGATAGCTTTTATATAGAAAAGAGCAAAGCAAAATAAGTTCAAAGTTTTGTTTTAGATCAAAAGCTCTTGCCGCCGTAGCCAAGTGCTTAGGTCTACCTCCAGCCACTCGGAAGGCCCATTATTCAATTGCTGATCGCAACAACATAAAAAAGTTTTTTTTTTTTCAAATAGCGCTCGGCAGACGATGGCAAACCTCGTAAGTGTACTTCTGCCATAAAGAAAAAACTTGTTTGGAGGTGGAGTCTAAGAGTGGAGATCTCCATTTGTGACACAACTACAAGAATCAGAGCTCGAATTGGAGGAAATGCATTCATTTATTGGAATTAAATATGATGTGTTGTTTAACAAAAAATAAACTATAACATAATTTTAGAGCTATTTAGTGGTTTCCCTTAAACTGAAAAAAATGCTTGAAAACTTCCAAAAACTCAAAGTTTTTATTGAGAAGTCAAGTTTTGTATGAAGCGAAAAAGCAGGTTTATTCTATCAAAAAAAAAATCCGGTATATTCAATATTCGAAAAATCAAGTTAAAAAAAACCCTGCCTATAGATAGCCAAAGAAATCCGTTGGAAACCGGGTTGGAAAAACCGAGTCTATCACCCTATTAATTATAGTTGTTGTGGACTTAATTATCGCGCTTCAAAATCTTCTTGTGTACTTCGAAATGTAAAATTTATGACAAAAAGAAGAAAATTAAATGCTCCTGCTCTTGTTATAGATTAAGCTTAAGAGTATTTCTTAAGTGAAGAGTGAATTCCCATTTTTTACATTTCGCTAGAATCCGTAGAATCCGAGTATATTATAATGAATCATAAAGCATTCTAGTTTAACGCAGTTATCGTATTTATATATTTACAAAACAACTTCGTTTACATATTTAGTTCATCATTCATCGCTTTAAATTTTGGTGTGTTAAAAACAAAAACATTATAAAAAAAAAAAATCATCATTCTACTCCACTCATACTTCACTCTGTCTAGGTAAGCAACTTTAATAAAATTATATTAATGAACACCGTTTTATGCTTTTTTCTCTCTTTCCGATTGCAGCTAACGCCCAATGCCAACAACCCAACGGTACCCAGCCCAGCTCTAGCTCCTGTGATGCCTATATCGAATGTAAGAATGGTGTCACTGAGGAGAAACTCTGCCCCGACGGTCTACTGTACAATCCCAATTCTTCCGGCTATCCTTGTGGCTACCCCATCGAAGTAGAGTGTCCACAAGCACGTATACAACCCGCTCAAGCCACTGATGAATGTCCACACCAGTTCGGTTACTATGGCATGGGTGACTCTCGCAATTGTGGTAAATTCAAGAATTGTGCCTCCGGACGTGGCTTCGTTTTGGACTGTCCCGATGGTTTGGCATGGAACAAGGACACTTATAAATGCGATTGGCCCGATCAAGTGCCCGATTGTGATGCCGAAGCTTTCCTCGGCTTTAAGTGTCCACCACCAAAACCATCGCCCAAAGGGCAATTCATTGGTGAACCCGAACAGGAGTATGATTTCTATCCATCCAGCGATAATTGTCAGGTGTACTTTATCTGTATAGAGGGTCGTCCACGTCGTATTGCTTGTGATGAAGCTAGTGCCTTCAATCCAGAAACGAAAAGCTGTGATGACATTGATAATGTGCCGAATTGCAGTCCTGACATCAAACAGCGAGGACAGGATATCAAGAATGCGCGTCTATCAGCGCAGAAGACGGCGGCAGCTGCAAAGCGAAGATTTTAGAAAATATTAATTCAATTTGTACTTTAAAATTGTTTTTTTTTTTGTTGTAATGCTCTAGTCCACAGTGAAAAACAAGAAGATTTATTTTGGCCTTTTTGTATGTATGTATGTATATTCTTGACAATAAAATCGACTTGAAAAAGGATCGAAAGCTTTGCAAAATTTTTAAAAGTTTCTAAACATCGATAAGGAAAACATCGAACATAGGATTATTTTTTTGTTTGGTGGTTGTATGTCAAAACTTCCGTATTTCCAGTTGGAAGTAAATTTATTAGTACCTCCAATGTTCTGGGTTTGTATTACGCTCGTATTTTTATTTAAAAAAAATTTGATATTCAAATAGTTAGATAACTTGCTATTTACTTTCGAAATCCCTTTTCATATTTTTCTTCGTTTTGCTTAATTTCATTTTGAACAAATAGCCCATTGCGCTCTCCGCAGTTGTCCCGAACCGGATGGTCGCTTCGCAGATGATGAGCAGTGTGACGGCTATCTCGAATGCAGGGAAGATGTTGGCGAAGAGAAGCTTTGTCCCGATGGTCTACTCTTCAATCAACGTACCAAAACAACTGGCGAATGCACATATTTGCCCTTCACAACATGCAAGCAACGCACGCGTTTGCAACCAGCCAATGGCACCGCTGATTGTCCACGCCAATTCGGTTTTTACTCGTCAGGTGATCCAAAGAATTGCGGTGTCTATAGAAATTGTGCTCACGGCGTGGCTACAGTCACCAAATGTCCCGAAGGCTTGGCTTTCAATGTTAAATCCTATCAGTGCGACTGGCCTGATCAAGTTGCGGAATGTGATGCAGAAGGCTTCCTTGGTTTTACTTGCCCACCCACAGATACTGTCGATGGGGAAGATAAAGAAGTGGATGTAAACCCCGATGGGGAACTACGCTATTTCCGTCACCCAAAAACGTGTAAGAAATACTTCGTCTGCGTTAATGGTCATCCTCGTTTGTACAACTGTGGCAAGTATTTGGCTTTCAATGTCGAAACGAAGTCGTGTGACTTTTACACACATGTACCGGAGTGTTATGCGCTTTTGAAGGAGAAGAAACTGGCAGCGGCCGCCGCCAGAGAGGCCTAATGTGTAATGTGTAGTTTTTTTTTTTGGTGGTAGTCGGGATACGTACCACATCGTGTTTACATCTATGTATTTTCCATTGTTTTAAAGCTTTTTTTTTGTAACTGAACTAATAATAAATATTTAAATATATATGCTTTCGTTTCATTTTGAACATATTTTTGTAGCAATATGCGTTGGTAAGTTTAAGAATTAAGTATGAAGTTATTGGCGTTTTTGTTCTAAAATTGTTGCGGTCAGCAACTTTGTAGCGAAATATTTGCATCCAACAACATTGCTGCGAATCATTTGCATCCAGCAACATTATAGCGAAACATGTATCCAGTAACATTGTAGCCAAACATTTCTATCCAGCAACATCGTAGCCAAATATTTGTATCGAGCAACATTGTCGCTAACATTTGTATCCAGCTACATTGTAGCTAAACATTTGTGTTCACCAACATTGCAGCTAAACAGTTGTATCCAGCAACATCGTAGCGAAACATTGGTATCCACCAACATTGTAGCTAAACATTTGTATCTAGCAACATTATAGCTAAACATTTGTATCCATTGTAACATTGTAGCGAAACATTTGTATCCAGCAACATTGTAGCGAAACATTTGTATTTAGCAACATCGTAGCGAAACATTTGTATCCAGCAACATCGTAGCGAAACATTTGTATCCAGCAACATCGTAGCGAAACATTTGTATCCAGCAACATCGTAGCGAAACATTTGTATCCAGCAACATCGTAGCGAAACATTTGTATCCAGCAACATCGTAGCGAAACATTTGTATCCAGCAACATCGTAGCGAAACATTTGTATCCAGCAACATCGTAGCGAAACATTTGTATCCAGCAACATCGTAGCGAAACATTTGTATCCAGCAACATCGTAGCGAAACATTTGTATCCAGCAACATCGTAGCGAAACATTTGTATCCAGCAACATCGTAGCGAAACATTTGTATCCAGCAACATCGTAGCGAAACATTTGTATCCAGCAACATCGTAGCGAAACATTTGTATCCAGCAACATCGTAGCGAAACATTTGTATCCAGCAACATCGTAGCGAAACATTTGTATCCAGCAACATCGTAGCGAAACATTTGTATCCAGCAACATCGTAGCGAAACATTTGTATCCAGCAACATCGTAGCGAAACATTTGTATCCAGCAACATCGTAGCGAAACATTTGTATCCAGCAACATCGTAGCTAAACATTTGTATCCAGCAACATTGTAGCGAAACATTTGTATCCAAAAACATTGTAGCTAAACATTTGCATCTATCAACATTGCTGCGAACCATTTGAATCCAGCAACATTGTACCGTAACACTTGCATCCAGCAACGTTGTAGCGAAACATTTGTATCCAGCAACATTGTAGCGAAACATTTGTATCGAGCAACATTTTTAGGATTTGGATTTGGTTCTATATCTTTTTGCAGCTCACATTTAAATGATTATAAACATTGCTGAAACTCGATTGGAGGCACATATAAACAATTTGAGTGCAGCCACCCTCCGCTAAAAACATTTTTGCATTTTTAGCTTTGCAAGCGACCCAGCTCAATGCACCAGGCACCCATAAAGCAGGAGTAGGACGACATGAAATTTTGCGGCGGAAATAGACTACGCCTAAATGTATACACCATAGAGTATGTACATCCGACGCGTCGGTAAGCGGAAATTGCTACACAGAGTGACACAAATAACTAGCAATTGATTTGTAGTAAAATAAAACCCGGTCATTTTTTCTACTTTTTTCAAATTAATTGGAATTTAGAGTTCAAGTAGCTACATAGCCAATTTAGGGGGAAAAATACGCGAACTATGGATTGATAACTTTTTCTGTACTTGTGTTGAAATAAAACGCAATAATTTTTTCCACAATTTGTGTATTTATTTGTTTGATATTATTTTTTAAGTCAATTGCATTTTATTGCTAATTTATTAGATCTTTATATATTTTAATCTTAAATTGTGTATGTTTGTAGGCATGACGCACACATGCCAAATTTATTCACCACTTCACACAGCATACATTGGAAATTTATTATAATTACGACTAACTAAAATAAGAAAAATAAAGTAGATTGGCAAATACTAAACAATAGTTATGTATTTAGTTCGTAATAAACACAAAAACATTTATAATTAGTTGGCTTTACAAAAAAAAAAACTACTTACAATTATGAATGGAAGAAAAAGATGCACAATTTTTTTGTGTGTTTATAATCTGTTGGAGCGAACATCTGGAAAACTAAGTCGGTAATGAGGAAATTGTTTTTTGCTTAAAACACAATAGGGGTATTCTCTGAGACTTGCAAAGCCCTTGCGACATACACAAGTTGCACGGTAAAAACCGGTTTTCATATGGAACAGCTTTGCAAACCGTGCAAGAGCTTTGTAAGGCTCAGAGAATACCCCTAATGTAAGTATGTATGAAAAACAAATTTACTTGCCCATTTACGTAAACACTTGGATTTTTTTTATATTTGTTTAGTTAATGATCTTAGCTAAAATATGAGTTTCTTTACATTCAGTTCTTCTTTTTAGTTTTACTTGAATGCTAAAAAAAAACTATTTTCTTCCGTTTTCTTGAAATTCTATGCTTAAGCGTAATAATATTTTACTTAAAAGTACACAACGCATTTGAGAGTGTCACAAAGGATAAAATTACTTTAAAGAACTCGAAATTTGATACTGAGTCAGAAGAAATTCTTCAACTTTTGAAAAAAAAAAAAATTAAATTGAAATTATTTTCTTGGCCTCCAGCAAGTGATTTCATATAAATGTATTGGGAAATTTCAAAACTGTTCGAAATTCAAGTGATTTCTTTAAACGCGATAATTTGGAAACCCGAAAGTATTTTTAAAGACTCATTAAAAGGAAATGCAAATGCAATGAAATACATATGGATATAAAACTCTTGGATGTATGTATATATTCATACATATGCATATACTACACATCAGCCCTGGGCAGCGTCCGCCCAGCGGGCGTATTCGCGTATACATACACGCCCTGCTTGAGAAGGCAGCGAAAGCTTCATTCAAGTGCACGACTTGTTCGCACGCACACAGTGACATCAATTGCACGTACATTACCAAAATGCTCTGCCGTGGCTGCCCACCGCTGTTATATGCATATACTGAACTTTTCTTTTATATAAATTGTTTGCTTTTATTGAGAGCTGAATTCCAAGCTCAAACAAGGAATTTTTCTGGAAACACCTTTTTATAAAGAAAATTCATTCAAATTCATTTTATCTGAACGAGGCTATTAAAATATGTATGTACGTACATTTTTTTAAGGACGTCTAGTATCACTAATTTCAATATCTACTTATACTATAAATAAAAAATACATACATAGATCAAATCACTTTGCTGGAACACACAAAATACCTACTCAATAACTGAATACTAAGAAAAAAAAAAAATATTTAATACCAAATTCCATTTTAGAGACAATTCTATAGCATACAAAATTTGCAAATTTTACGCTTATTATACTTAGAAATCAATTTTACTGTTATTTTTATACATATTACTTGAATGAGGCCGCTAGAATAACTACTCTTAGCTTCAATTCCGCTTAAATACATAAATACATATTTTTTTCAGTACATACATATGTACGTATTTATGCACATATTTTGCATGTGTATTTTAATTTTGACTGAGCACATATGGTGCATATGTAATTCCTCAATTGAATTTGAATTTTTCTTTCATCTAAGGCACTTTATTCAATTACACACAAATTCTTTTTTATTTTCACGTTTTTAATTATTTTTTGCTTCGACATCATTTAAAATGTGTGTTCATATTCTACGATTTTATGTCAATTTGGTTTTATTTTTTTCGCGCTATCGATTCGCAATTTATTGAAATATATATCATTTAAAATGTACCTTTAAGTATTACCGGTTTGCAATGCAATTTTATTACAATTACATTATTTATGAATCTAATATGTAGCTGTTTATTAATTTTTTGCATACTTAACATTATTTTTTTTCGCCGTCCTGCTTTGCTACTTTTAATTTTTTGTTTGTTTATTAACTTTGCTTGGCACCAGCCATTTACCGCTTATTTATTTTTACTTTTAATTTGCAGCGCAGTTTGCCTTAATTCTTTCGCATTTAATTTGTGATAAGTCAGTATTATATATAGCTGTATACTTTGCACAACTGCGTCACATACATACTTATTTATGTAAGCATTGGCATTTTTACTGTACCTGCAGCTCAACTGCTAAACATTTTCTGCTTTAGTCTTTTCGTATTTATTTATTTTTTATTACCAAAATTTATATTGACTATACAAATATTTTGATAATATTTCTATGTCACTTTTTCATCATACAAATGGTTTTACATTATTCTATTTGATGGCTTCTTTGTTTTAAAGCGAACGAATATCAATCACTTTTTATAATAGAAAATTACAATGAAAAATTCAATTAAGGTTAATTTTATTTAAATAAAAAAAGAACGTTTTTTATTAATTCAAATCACTTTAGTTTTTTTTTTATTAAATTCGATTTTATTTCAATTTATGTGCATATGTACCTTTCAAATATTTCTTTTAATTAAATTTGTTTCCGTTTTTCATTATTATTATATATTTTAATTTTAATGAGACTTCATCATTTTAACTGAAGTTACTTTACTTGACTTTACTGTTCTTAATATTCTATTTTATTTCTGCGTCATTAATTTTTATATTTTTACTTTGTCTTCAACTTTTTATTTGCTTTTTGCCTATTTTAAACGTTTTTCATTTTTGTATACTTTCGCTTGCCCTTTTATAACGAATAGCATAGTTCAGCCCCTGCTCTTCCCAAAAAAAAAAAATTTTTATTTACTTATTCCCAAGTTGTTTTTATAGTCATAAATTAGAGTAGTTTTATATATTTGTGGATTTCGTTAAATTCTAAAAACTGGAAAGCTCGAAACTCAAAATATATTGAAAGTTTAATAAAAGGTTTCGGGGTTTCCGAACTTTTTCACTAGCTTCCATTTTAAAATTACAGTGAGCATATAATCATTAGGAATTTTAAAATATGTAAATGCTTACACTTATGGCAGGAAGTTGGCGATTTGGCCTAGCATGGGTTAAAGAAATTTTCATACAAAAATTTTCTGAACAAAATGCTTTAAGTTTTGTAAAGGTAAAAATAGTCTATAAGAAAATCAGGCAGATTCTGCAATTCATTTACGAGTGAATTTCAATCCCTTTCAATGTGAATTCAAAGTGACTTTGCTTGAAATCAACCAGAAGTGAATTGCAGAATCTCCCTGAATACTAAAATACTCTGAATGTTTTGCTAGTTAATTTCCGGTATATATATTTTTTTTTAAATAATAAAGCATAACAGTTTTCTTTTGACTATCGAAATTTCGTTGTCGAAATTTTTACACAATTAGGTGATTTCCTTGAACTCAAAAAACTAGCATGTTTGAAAGTGTGCTTCAAAGTTCAGGCAAAGTTCCGAGGCTTGAGGATTTTTTTCTCAGTTAAAGGAAAAGCCACTTATACATACATATCGCTAGCGTAGAGTGAACATTTCCTAAGTCCAGTTTTTCAAATTCTACAGGAGAGAGTAAAAAGTATTGAATACGTTTTTTCAAGCAGTTATTTTCAAAAAAGTTTAACTTATGAAATTCCATATTCATAGCCTGAACAACCTTATATATGAATCAAACTCTACAACGTTGATTAAAACTTTTGTATTTTTTGGGACATCAAATTTTCAATTTTGGACTCTGCAAATTTGCGCATCACTAAATAGAAACGATTAGAAATAAATCAAGTACTTCGATATTTTAGCCAGCGATAAGTATTTTGCATTTTGAGATGAAAAATTAAACAGTCCAGGGCTAGATATAAACTATGTATGTATGTATGTATATTGTGCTAAATAATAGTATCTATATGTGGCCGAACGAAATGGTTTGATGTTTGGATAAGTGAAAAATTTTTACCATGATAGAAAAAATTATAATTTGAGCGTTCGTACAAAAATGTTATATATGCGTGTGTCTCAAAAAATATATATGTATATATTTTAATTGAAATTATTTCGTTAACTGATTTTCACAAAAATGGGTTTTTTTCTATTTTTCGGCAGCAAAATTGAATTTAATTTCTATGCGCTTTGCTTTTATAAAAATGCTTTCATTTTGAATTTTCTCCGAAATTATTTCGATAGGAAAATTTCAAAAATACTGTTATATTTTCAAGAAGCTAATATCAAATACCTTGGTTTCCCATTGCGCCGGTTTGTAACAAGATTTTTTTCTTTACGTTTCCCTATTTTTTGTAGTCTGTGTGTAGTTTGCGTAGAGTGTTTGTAAGTCTTTTCAACTACTAAATTACTTAGTTTTCTCGATTCATGTTGGGTTTCTTCTTGTTTATCAAAACTCATGCTACTAAAGCTATATGCCAATAGCAATTATACAAAGCTTTAAGTTGCTGAAGTATATGCATGTACATACATAATTCAGCCTATATTATTTATGCAGGCATTTTTATGCTCTAGCTGAATTTCAATTGGCTTGAGCCATTTTTAAGTTTCTATTACTTTTGAGTTCATTCTTTTTTTTTATTAATTTGTTTAGTGCCTTTTTCACATTCGAATCTTATTAGTCAAATATATGCTATTGGTTTTTCTACTACCAGCTATTTTTATGTGCAGTACTTATCTATTATGTAAACAGATTACTCACTACATATACACGTTTTTCTCTATACCATACAAATACTTTTCTTATAATTAGTAGTCAAATGTTTCTTTTTCATACAACTTAGTGACTATCTATTATGCAAAAACGTTTGAATGCACTAATATCTTTAATTTTATAATTACTAAAGTTCAAATATCACGGTTCTTACGCTTACAAGAGGCTAAGATGTATAATAAAATATTTTTATTAAGTTGGAATTGGGTTAAAATAATTACGGAGACTTTTTAAAATAAATAGGAAAAATATATAAGGAGAAAAAAGTGCCGAAGGCTTCAACGATCTTGAGATTTTTACTGGATTGCCACAGATATGTATACATATGTATGTATTCATCTCCTTGGAACTTTAAAAGGACTTCTCAATCTCAGGAATCAGGCCTGTAAGCATACGTTTCCTGGAGCTTCCGTTAATTGATGTATCTTTGTGGATACATACTTATGTACATAATATTGTTGTCATCATCAATTCAAAACACCCTAATCGAGATTTTTTAAGAAATGTAGTATTTTAGATATTCCGCCACTTGGCTCTCATAAAAAATTTTCAAATAGGCTTTTTGTTGTGATGGTGACGATATATGTATGCAAGCAATTCTATTAAAAAAATTTAATTAAGGTCAATGTACGTCAAAGTTTGAAAAGAAAAAGCTCTGTAGGCTTAGCTTGAAAGGTTGAAGGTTAGCAACATAGGAACGCAAGTAAAATACAACTACTTTAGGTTAAGTTTTAGATGACAAAACAAAAAACAAAGCAAGAAAATCGTTAAGAGCTAAAACTAACATAACAATTAAGCATAAACACTAAAAAAACTATAAATTAAAAATATGCGCATATTTTAGAAAATATGTAGCTTTGTAAGTGCGTGTGTGCTGTGTATACACTTTAAGTGATTTATACGTTCTTTTAACTTTTTAAAAGTAAAATATTTCTATATTTTTCGTGTGACTATTCCGCGCTTAAGTTGTTTTCTGAAGTAAAATGCATAAATTTTTTGCAATATTTTTCGTCTATTATACTACTATTTAATTAGTCATACAAAAATATCTAAATTATTTTTCACATTTTTGTTTAATGTTTTTTTTTTCGATTTGTAATTTTTTATTTTGGGTTTATTTTACTTCGTAAGTGCTTGGGCGTTTTAAAAATAAATATGTATATATATATTTTTTTCGTTATTTTTAATAAACTGCTGTTGCACATGCACATACACATCTACATACAGTTTTGTTTAAATAATACAAGCAAATTTTTAAGTCTTGAAATAATAATTATATGACAGTAATAAACGCATACTGCCGCAATCTAACATCATACAAATCTTTTTATACAACACTACATTGCAGGAAAAACGGCATTATATGTAAATGCCAATATACGTCCCTTTTGTGACACACTTTTATTCATATTTTTAATATACAAAAATATTTACGCGTTTTTTTGTTTCAATTTATACAAAAAAAAACAATCAAAATTGAAATAGTACTATAAAACATGTTTACAATGCGTTGGCTCGAATCGACGCTTCAAATTGATTTTTTACTTATCGTAATTTACTATGAATTATGCTGGCAAATATCTAATTGTAGGTATATAGCTTTTTTACATCATCGTTAATGTTGCGCTTTCAACGCTGTTCGTCGCTCAAAAAAATAGTATCTTGAATTGTAGTAGTAGTCTTTTAATTCCATTCTTATTAGAGCCTAAAAAAGTTTTTCAACTTTTTTGCCAATTTATTAGTTACTATACGATGCATCCCTGTCGCACACCATACATTATCTTCAATTCCGGATAAATGATTTTGCGTATAAGTTGATTCGTTTTACCCGCCAACATGGCACGTCGATTATCTTTTTGTAGTATTTTGATGCCTGGTTTGTGCACAAGGAAGGCATTATCTAAAATATGGAATTCGTAGTCTAGTACGCAGAGCGCATAGCCCTAAAAAGAAAACAAGGAAATTATTATTTGCCTAATATTAAATTTTTTGTACTTTTATCTATGAAATAATCCCGTATTTTTCAGTTTATAAGCCTATTTTAAAGCTCCTTTATTTTTAATGAATAAGGCTAATTGTATGTATGGGTTGCATAATTATAAAACCGCCACATATTAACAAGTATTGAGTATTTATTTTTATTTTATTTAATTTGAATTCGGTTAGGTTATACTGGCAGGCCGAAGCCACGCAGAGACAAGTAGGTCCACAGCGATGCCTTTAATTTCAATTATTTTTATTTACAAATAAAGTCCTTTCTTTAACAAACACCATACAAATCCGCACTTCAAACTTTCTGCAAAAATAATAAAAATTCACCGAATTTTCACAATTTTACACCCTTTTTAAAGAATTTTTGGAAAAGCTCATTCAATTATAAGTATAGTAAGTATAATATAAAAATAATAAGTCAAAATTTGTTAATATGTGGCGGTCTTATAACTATGCAACGTAGTGTATGAAACCTCTTACTCACCTGCGTCATTTTATCACTTTTACCCTCCCAACTCAGTCGTTCATCATAGTGAGGGTCCGCATGCGTACCAATGTAGATAGGTTCCCAATGCCGGAAATATCCAGTACGCTTGCCTATATGGAAGACACTGAGTTCCTCCGTTTCGTTGGCGGCCATCCATTCTTTGGACTGTGGCACGCCATGACAACTGGCACAGACACGCTTATGAAAAGGTATCGCTTTGCCATTGCGCAAGTACTCCTGCAATTCGGTTTTGTCGCGTGGCACGGTCACATTGGCTTCCACCTCAAAAATGGAGAGCGGAAAGACTCTGCAAATGAGAATAAAGTGGCACATTTAATTTTAAAAAATTATCAAAATGCATATACATATGTATATTCATTTTGTTACCCACCTTGGCGCTTTGCGTTGCAGATACGCTTCATTCCGTGCAATCATCTCCAGGAATTTTTTCACTAGCCCTGGATTTGGATACAACTCAATATCCGATGCTAGTATAAAGTGCGTTAAGGCAGCATCGCGCGCTATATTTCGACCCACATTCACTGGATACAATAGCTTCTTTTGTGACTTATATAAATGCCCGGAGCTAACATTGAAATAGGGTGGTGGCAGCGTGCAGTTGTAGGGCGTCTTCAGCACTTCCGATTGCTTCACTACCTGCTTGGGTATGTGTTTTGTGCTAAAGTAGAGATGAAATGTGGTCAGACCGCGTACTAAGTGACTCCCAGGCAGACAATTACGCAAGTACTTAATGGCATCAATAGTTGGCTGATAATCAGTACCAGGTGTGTGCATGGCAATGCTAACGGGCGCATTCCAACTAAAAGTTATATAAGAATTTTTTATGTATATTTACACAACTTTCACTAGATGCTTACCGCTCCAACAGTGGTATGAGATTATCTAAAAACGTGTAATCCGCATGCGTTGTATACGTAATTGATTCGGTACACTTCATCGCACCATGATCGGCGCGCACGTAATTTTTGAGCACCCAGAAGTCACCGCGCTGCAAAATCTCCGGTTTGTAGTCACGTTCGTAACAGTTTAAAAGTGTTTCCAGCCGTTCATTTAAGTCTTTTTCATCACCGGTAACAATATAGGCGTCGTTAGCGGTAGCATTTACAAACCCAGCTGACTCGGCAGTCCCACTGACAGCGGCAGCAGCGCCATTATTCCCTACTACCGCCGGCACAGCCGGCGAGTCTGCGGCGCCAGCTGTGTGATTTTGTGCAAGTGGTGCGGCAATATCCCCAGGAGCAGCAGGTACCGACGCAGTACCACCAGAAACGTTGGCCCCCGGCGGCGGCACTTGCAGGTCATTGGATATGAGTGGAGGGGGCGGAGGTGGCTGCAGCTTGTCTGCGACAAGTTGGTCCTGTAATAAAAATTAGTAAGTATTAATGTTCATATATATGATAAAGCATAACTTTTTATAAACATAAATCTCTTACGCTATTCGCTAATTGCGCTGGATCTAATCCTCGCTCCTGTATAAAAAATGTATTACTGCCAGTAAAACCGCTGCCATTGCCAATCATGACATGACTGCATATGTATAGGATGACAACAATATTGATGAGTATGCTACATCGGAGCAGCCAATTGCGCCGCGTGAACATTTTCTGGCCTAAAGGTTCGAAACGCACCATTTGGATTTTAGGTACGGCAGTGGAGGACTAGAAGTTACGTTGTTTCTGGAAGGAAGCAGGTGTTGAAAAGCTTGCAATCGTCTCTTCGAAGAATGGGGAAGAGGCTTCCCAACACTAGTCTTCGACGGCAGAATTATATTGTGTGAGAGCATTAACTACAAAGTACACCTGCAAAAAAAAAAAAAAGCAAATTGTTAGAGTAAAATATAAAAAAAAAACGTATGTTAAATACCAATTCTGTTTTGGGCGTTTCCCGCAATTTCCACATAAACAACATGTATCATGAGTTTAAGCGATCGTTTATTAAAATGTATAAGCAAAGATNCAAAAAAAAAAAAGAAGCAAATTGTTAGAGTAAAATATAAAAAAAAAGTATGTTAAATACCAATTCTGTTTTGGGCGTTTCCCGCAATTTCCACATAAACACTCAGCTAATCAACGGCATAGGAAATAATATTTGTATCATGAGTTTAAGCGATCGTTTATTAAAATGTATAAAATGTTTATATAAATGTATATTCTTAAAATACATACATATGTGGTAACAATTTTAATTCAAACTTTTTTAAACTACTTTTTCTTGAAGAAATTCATTATATTTCCCTGCTTCGTCTTAGCAGCCGCCGTAGGAGTTTGCTTTGGTTTACTCCCTTTGGGATCCGCTTTTGTTGGCGTTTTCTGTAGTGTAGTTGCTGGTCCGTTCGATTTCGAGTGCGATTTCTTCGACTTAACAGTTATAACAAAGCCGTCTTCATCCAAATATGTTTCCGATTTTGGAGGCGAGTCTCCTATCTCAGCTACAGCGGATTCCTCAAGTTTTCCTTGCTTTTGCTTTGGCTCTTCCTCTTCTTCATCTTCCTCCTCATCATCCGAGTCCTCGATGCGCAGACGTTTGCGGCTGCTAGTCGCAGCTTCTTTCTTGTCGGCATCTTCTACTTTGCGCCTCAGCTTATTCAGTTCTTCTTCCTCGTCAGAAGATTCAACTTGCACTTCAACTACCTTCTTTTTATTTCCCAATTTTTCCTCGATTTTCTCTTTTTCCTCCTCGTCTTCTGAGAATAGTTGCATGGAACTATTGGCTTTTTTCTCTTTTTGCTTCAACTTCTCTTTAGTACCAGCAGGCTTCTCGACTTGCTTTTTGAAGAAGTCATTCACTTTCTTTGGAGATTTTTGGCGGCTGGCATCAGACGCGGGATTATTAGAAGTGTCAGCTGCGTCTTTACTCTTTGGCGCGAAGAAGTTTCCAATTCCTTTTTGGCCATTGGCAGCTGCTGCAGCCGCTTTTTTGTCTTTAGGATACACCTTTTTCTGGTCGGCGGATTTTTGTGGCGTTTTCTTAGCAGCATCTTCTTCAGTTGTAGTTTTGGTTTTGGTACTTTGTGTTGAGACCTTCTTGTCTATTGCCGCAGCCTTTGAGTTACCGGAACCAGCTTCCTTTTTTACTTTAGCACTGGTGCCATCAGAATTATCGTTGCTCTTGGTTTTGGTAAAAACGCCTGTAAGGCCTTTAGCTGGCTTTATCTCCGGTTTAATTTCTACTTTTACTGCAGCATTAGTATCATTCGACTTTTCTAATGTGCCATTGTGTTGCTTATTTTCTTTCTTACGAGGTTGTAAGTCCTCTAATTTAACAGCGAACCATGTTACAGGTTTTAGATCCTCCGCTGGTGCCTTTGCGCCACCTTCAACCTCAACCGAATACAGTGCAGACTCGGCGCCTTTCAACTTATTTAGCCACTGCTCCAAATTAACTTCCCCCTTCACAATTTTAAACACTTCTTTGCTTGAATCATCCGCTTCCGTACCATGTATAACAAAACGCTTCTCATATTTGACGCCATCCTTCTCCTGCTGCTTCAAATATTCCTCAAGTGTACGACTCACTTCTTCAAGTGGCAAATGATATTCATTTATTAAGTCAGTTAATAATACACGACTATCAAAATTAATTACGCAGTCGTTTAATGCTTCCATTAGTTTAGCAGCGCACATGTTCTTTTTTAATTGTAATAGTTGAAATGAGTCAAATTCAGCTGCGAAAACAAGTTAAAAATCCGCGGAAACATCCAATTTTCTTGTAGCGCTCGTTCACAATGAATTTCACAACAGCGCAGCAGCTGTCAAAATGTAATGTGGACTTTGTCACATGTGGATGCCGTAAGCAAAGTATGCGGTGTGGATGTGCTCATGGGAAAAATGTAATAAACTTTCAAAGCAATTTACGTATGTACGTTGCAATTATGTTACTATATCGTTGCAGAACCAAATAAATTTGAGAATGCCATTAAATATGTATGCATGTATATCAAAACGAAATGAAAGAACGAAAAGATAATCAGGAGTTAACTTAAATATCATAAAAAAAATAAATAATATATGCTATAATAAAAAAATATATGTACTAATGTAAAGTAACATTATACCTACACAATGAGCAAAAGAAGGTTAAACAACACGAAATTAAGATGAATAAAATAAAATAAAATTAGACCAAATAACAAAATAAGAGAAAACCCGAAAATTTTTATAAATTTATGCACAAAAAATGGAAAGAAATTTTTTCCTATAAAAATTTCTTAAATCAATTTGCAGCTGTAACGGAAAAATTTGCCTGTATATTTACTTGTTCCAGAAAATGTACAGCAAAGCAGGTATATTTTCAAGCAACAGAAATACTGCAAAATATTTATTTTGATTTTTGCTGAGAGCTGCAAACAGCCTTAAATTATTATTATTAATTATATTATATATTATTAAATAAAGCAAGACAATCCCCAATCCTTGTATACGAATTGCGAACTCAAGTCCTCACAAAGTTACCCCAAACATTAGTTAAAAACAATTCCAACAGAACGACATGAAAACCCTCGTTATTATTTTTGTTGTTCTTGTTGCGGCTTACTTAACCCTTCAATCGCTGTCATCAAGCAAATCTAACAGTAGGTGCAGGGAACGAGCTGTATCGACGAAGACAGACCAAAGGGAAAGGGATGTTAGTTAAATTGGGCCGAGTAGTTGTTGTTGTTGTAGCGGCACTACTATGCCGCACCTGTGTCGTCAAACTCAACGAGCGGAAGGCCGAAAAACGAGCTGTTTCTACGGCGTCGAACCGGAGGGGTGTTAGCTGAGTAGGATTGAGCTGACATGAGAAGAGGTTGTTGGTGTAATTGAGGGAATCGCCACATGCTTGGTAGTCATTTGGGATATCGCTGTCGAGTTTGGACAAGTAGCTACGGAGGTGGCTACAATGTCCGGACATTATTGGGATCCGCGCGAATATACTCAAAAGCTGTTCATTCACATCTGAGGCATCCCCCCCAAAATCGCTTGCTAAGCATTTTGTTACGCTCCTTTACAGGACGCAGCATAGTTCAGCACCGGTCGGCCAATTGCCTTACAAGGTGCCAACAACGTTTCTTTGTCTTGGCCCCACGTGCTGCCAGTGAGCGACTTGAGGACCTTGTTGCTACTCTGTAATTTATTGTCAGTTTCGGTTGTGTGCGTGGAGAAAGAGAGCAGGCTGTCAAACGTAATCCCTAAGATTTCCTGGTTGTTCCTGGTGTGCCATCGACGTGAATGCCTTCGTCCAGGTGGTGAAGAAGGTCGCCGCTAAGGTTTACTCTCCGTGCAGTATAGCTGCGAGAAAGTTTGGAGAGGTAGCTGTGTACTTTCGAGCAGAGGTCATCAATATAATTCCCGGACGCCAATATCAAACAGCCGTCAGCGTATGAGATCAAGGAGATTCTCTCCGATACCAGAGAAAGCTTCGAGGTATAGAACTTAAACAGAGGCGGGGCAGAGAACACCACCCTGTGGAACACTTTGCCTAATTCTTCTAGGTTTTAATGTTTGATCTCGAATTGACGACTTTTGACCACTGATACGATGCCAGACGGTGTCAAACGCCTTTGATCGGTCGAACGCTACTAGGACTGTTCTCGCACAGGGGGGGTTACGTTAAGGCCATGAGTTATTTGACCTGGACTTCACCGTTACTGCAAGTGGTGCACTTTCTTTGGGCAGTTTGTGCACCTACTGATTACTCGACGCTTGGCCTTATCCATAGAAGGATGCAGTGTAAACTGCCGGCTAAAATATGTAGCTCTCCAATTTCTTCAAGTCCGACAAGGCGGGACCATCGAACTTGATTTCCACTCTGTCGTTACGTTTCGTCGGATTAAACTGGGCTTAATTCACAAGGGCCCGGCCCTAACCAACACTTTTTTCGAAACTGCGTTTTTTACAGATTTTGGTATGATGGGCGTGTGTGAATCGGTAACAAAGTTTGCGGTAAGTAAATTTTTGACAACTGTAAGGTGAATAAAATTTCAATAGCTCATGAGGCTAGTGAAATTTTTGACAAATGCATAGAAAATTTTGACAATCGCAAAGATTGTTGATGTTTGTAAGTTTTCGTTAAATAAAAGCTTAAATTGATGAATTGCAATCAATGATGGTAGATGTTTTCTTAAAATATTAATTACACTTCAATTAGTAATATTTTATTCCGCATAAATCTGCGGTTATCAAAAATTTGCTGTTGCCAAAAAGATTTAATTTCACACAGCAGATTGGCAAAACTGTCTCACCACACTAAAAATATTATTCACCAGCTTTCCCCCACAGAATTGTGTTACCGGTTCTTACACGCCCTCTGGCCCAAAAAATGTTTTGTACAAACGTGGCAGCACTTTCGTTATCACAAAGGACATAGAATATTGGGGAGCCACAAACATAGCCAGCATCAATATTTTTTATGATCTTTGGTAATGTTTTATTTTGCCAAACTGGTACTCTCCCCTTTCGATTATTTAATGTATATAAATAAATTTTTGTACAAAAATTACCAACACTCGACACAGTTCCGCCAAATTTTGAACTTTTTAATTAGATTTCTTCGAAACATTCTTAGTATGCGGTTTTGTAGCCCGTTCAATTTAAGTAAAACGAAGTGGAAAATTTTTTGTGGAAGGTGTTGCACATTTTTTCCATACAAAAAAATTTTTCAACATACTTTGTACGGAAGAAAATGCGCAAATAAAAAATTTCCAAAAATCAACGGTAAGTCCAAGCTACTTCGAACTAGCACTTTGTTACGCTAAAATTTAATGTTCTACAAGACTGCATGCTTAAAAAATTCTAAAAATCTTATTGAAAAAATTTTTTTTTTAAATATTTTATTGAGCTTTGTACCTGCTGAAGTCTAGAAAAAAAGAAGTCTGATGAGGAGATGTGGTGATCTCCGAAATAGCTGCTATAACTTCTACCGCTTAGACTTTGTTGCTTTTTAAATTTTCCCTAATGAACAATTGTGGTACAAAGCTCAATAAAAATATTAAAAATAAAATGTTAACAAGCCACAATAACATTGATACAATTTTTTTAATTAACATTTGTTAAAATTCACTGAATTTTTGTAAAAGTTCTACAAAGTTTGAAATTTCTATTTAAATGTTTTTTGTTTTAGAAGTAACCTTTATTTTCATAAAATAACAATAAGCATTTTTTAAACAAAGAAAAGCAGCCAACACTTGCTAAAAAGTCTTTTCCCTATTTACATTTTCGCCCCGTACAAAAATATTGTGTGTATAAATTTTTGCGATCATTTTTCAAAATTTTTCTCCTTGTTTTGTCCTAAATAAAGCTATATTCAACAATTCAACAATTCAAATCAATAACAAAAAACAAATAAAGCTATATTAAAAGATGTTATGTCTTTTTATTCTAAAAACAAAATTGTACGTTTGGGTTCGATGCTTGAGAAATTTCCCGATTTTTGTCGACAGAAATCTAGTCACCGTAGCTATGGCTGAAGAGGAGTAAAGTGTGTAAAATATAACGATGAATATTTTACTTTCCTTACAGGAAGAGTAATGAAATCAGTCTGGCTGGTCAGACTCGACAAAACACTAACAGGGAAGACTTATAGACGAAATTACCTATAAAAAATCGTATTGTTAGTTTTGATTTTTATTTTAAATTCAGTAAAAAATAATTATTTGTTTTTTGCAAGAAATCAGTTTTAACTGGAAATCTTAAAAATAGACTGGTTTGTAAGAGCAACACATTTTCAACACGTGCTAAATTTTTGCGAGAATTCGATATAACAAAAGAAATATAAAATATACTAAACGAATAACCAAGCCACCGCAACCCAAATCAAAGCAGAACGAACAGTAACAATAAAGAATACCGAGAATGTGTAAAATATTCTAAAGAATTATGGGGAGTTTGTGCCGAATATGAAACCGGCTGCAAAATAAACAAATATAAAATTACAAAACACTTTGAGATCATTGCCATCAATTAGTCATATTTAAGAAGAAGAATATGACAATCATTGGAGAAGCATCTAAGAGAAAAAAATTCAGAGAAAAAATTTGCAAAGTTCAGTATGGGGGAAAGAATGACAATAAAATATCTGCAAAAAAATAAGCGTTTTTTTTTTAAGTAAACAAATTTTAAGAGGAAAAGATTAAGCCATAATGAAATCGTTTGCGGTAAAATTCAACCAAGCCAGTATTCATAAGCACTTTAAAAAAAGCTGCTGGCATAAGCAGCATCCCGACAACAGCGGCCGTAAAAACAATAACCGTGACAATAATAGAAAAATTTCTTTTCTCCAGGAACTCAATAAGCAAATATAATTTTTTTATGTAGTAGCATAAAACGGTATTATTGCAACAACTTTCAGTAAATAAAAATTATATATTTATTTAACTGCAATATCGCTTATGTATTAGTAAAAAAAGGTGTGAATGTTTTGCTATTATTTCGGCAAAAATTGACTTGTGTAAACCCCAAGTACGCGGCCATAAGGAACAGCTGATTTTTGTTTGCAGACGCAACACCTTCATTGCGGCGTATCTCTACGTTACGTACGCCACTTCCTTCGCATACTTTTCCTTTATTGACGTACAAGTACACATTCTGACGGGCCTATTAGACCGAACCAGAAAAAATCGCCATATATCTCTGAGTCTGAAGTGTTTTGGCAAGGCAATTAAAAAAAAAAAATGGTAGAACGTAAGGGTCGCCTTTTTACATTTTTCATCATATCATCGGCATTTATCTGATATATTGGCATTAGTCTGATATATCGATGTTG